ATAACCACCTGAAGTGGTAAAAGTTACTATGTCTTGCCATGATCAAATTCATGTATGATTATGGGCACAAAAAGTGGAAACCCGTCCCATTGAATTTGCTCCATTCTCATTCCCTTAAGAGAATGTGATAGCAGTATGTGATAAGTCTGAAAGAAGACAAAATTATCACTATAAATGTATCAATGGACGTGGACGTGGCAATAGACGAAATTATAATCGTCATCATTATGATAAGGAGAATAATAAGGATTCTCGAAATAATCTTTCACTTTGTGAATGTAATATTTGTCATTGATTTGACATGAGATTTTATAAAGCACATATAGATGATTATGGTCCATTCATGATGTGAATGTGACAACATCTGATTTATAAATACATATTCATTCTTGGAAGAATATGAACGTGCTAGTGGTAGTGAATATACAACACTCACCTCTAGAAGGAGGTTTGAGATGATTAAGAAAATAATGTCATTATTATGGCATGAATGGTCATTGGTCACGTACCTATTGTACGCCAAAATATTTTGGTAATGTGATAATTAAAGAATAACATTAATGCAAGAAATATATCTTGTATATAATTTTGATCATAACCAAAATGGTATAACTTTCCCTTTAAAAGAGATATCACCACATGGATGTTGATGAATCTGTGGTAGTACAAATTAATTGAGAGCTCTGGAAGAGCCAATTATTACTATTTTGGAGAAACACAATTAATTACCAATAAGGTATTGTGTTGTAGTAAGTCTCAAAGAAACTTATTCAGTTTCAAAGTATACGCGAAAGCGGATGATTATATTGAGACTATAAATAAAGGAAAGATTTAATATCTTCTATTACTACAACTTGTAGCGGCGTAATATGTATGTGAAAAGCTACCCGCTTTATTCTCCAATTTGTATTACATAAACAAAAGAATACCACAATAAAGTGGATATTTATTGATATAAAAACCCATATCATAATAAACTTGGAGTTTATTCATAATTGCACACATCATGGTGTAAACATGAAGTTTATCAATATTGATAATTTATCCAGTTGGCATAATTGGTTTAGCCATGTTAAATCAAGTATGATGTGCAAAAATAAAAGAGAATTCACATGGGTAAATATTAAAGAACTAGAAAGTTCCTTACGAATTCTCTTACATTGCTTGTTCTCATTAATTAATAGACCAATTAAAATTGGGATTGAATCCCATGAATGCTGAAAATATCAAAGGTGAATATGGGGCCCATTCACCTGCCATGTATACCACATAAGATGCATCTATGAGATGGTTACATGTGCGATTATTAATAACCCGCAACATGGTGTTTTGCGAGGTAACTTGCTCAATAATTTAATTTCGAGCATAATTTCCAGATTTTCTATTCAAGATAGTTTATGTTGATAAGTTGGTTTACATCACAACTGGTTTAGCAAAATGATTTATTGAGTGCCTCCACTTAATAGCTAAACAATTGCTTATGAGAACAAAGTTATCTATATCAGTTTGATATACGTTATATACGAAAGTATATTATTTTCTTCCCTCACAAGTGGTTCAGGGTCAGGAACCAAATAATTCCATCTAATTATTATTGATGTGCGGTGTATATTTGATTAACACCATAATGCACGAAGGTGGATTCTCAAAGTTGAGGTAACAAGTTAGTTTTTCTAACATGAGGGGGAGACATGATAAACAGTTGAGAAAAAGTTACATGGAATGAATTATTATTTATACATCTCGATCCTCGAATAAGATAATATGAACTTGAAGTTCATAAAAGATAATTCATCTGCAATATATTGCAATGCATGCCATACGCATTTGCTGACCCAAAGAAAGTAACTATATTCTCATTGCAAATGCTCTTATTAAATCCTAGAAGGACAAAGTCTATGGTACGTTTAAAGCGTATAGACAATCGGTTTCAAATAAACTTCTTGTTAAAGAAGATGAGCAAATGATCAAAATGATCATAATAAAGGAGGCAAGTGATCTAGAAGATCACATGACATAACACTTCATAAAATCTCATGAGAGATTCAAGTACCTGAATATATGAATGAAGATATCTCTATGTTATGTCTTTATGAAAAAAAAAAGAGGTTGGAACCGATATAAAATATTCGTCGACGACATCTATGAAAGCGCTAAGTATAGATGAGAATTTTAAGTCTGTCGAATACAGACACAAAAATATTGGCCAAATGAAAGAGACACAATTCAAGTAGAATTAGTTTCATATGAAAGACATGCAATTTTGAACATGTAGTTCAAATACTTGAAAGTATAAAGTCAATTATATGTGCAATTAGTTTTCGATATCTTATATGTCTAGCATGACATGAAAACTTGATATGCATCTAAAGTCTATTATATGGCTTATATGACTTAACTTATTCGACAATCCATGAATGATTTAAGTTGCTTGAAGCATATACAATTCTTGATCTTGAAGTACCACATCCTCAGTGTAATTTGTGCATATATGTATCTTGCTATAATTATAAGCATGATAATACGATAGCGAGAATTTCTATGGAGATATTGAAGAGCCATTCCACGACATTATATGAAGACATTATATATCTATCAAGAATGATGATTTCAAGATGCAATATATCCATTCAAGTTAATATGGCTGATTTGTTCATCAAATCTCTACCAAAGATCTCTTGAAGATGGTGCACAAGATTGGAATCCAAATGCTTAAGGATGTGAAGTGATGCTCTCATCAGGGGGAGTTAATACGCGTTGTACTCTTTTTCCCTTACAAGGTTTTGTCCCACTGGGTTTTCCTTGCAAGGTTTTTAACGAGGCAACCGAAAGGCGTATTATTAGATATGTGTACTCTTTTTCCTTCTCTAGAATTTTTTTCCCACTGGGTTTTATTTTAGTTAAGGTTTTAACGAGGCACATTATCTGTTGAATAGACATTCAAGGGGGAGTATTATAAATAAAATTTTATTTATGGTGAATGTTTATATTTAGAGAGATTCTAGGGTTTATTACTTGGTGGCTAAGTCACCATCTCCCTATAAATAGAGGGTTCTATTCCATTGTAATTCATCCCAAATCAATAAGAATTCTCTATTTCTACTTTTCTCTACAATATTATTCTTCTTCTTTTATTGTTTCATAACAGACTCCTTAATTTGATGGTCAGTTTATTTTTAAAACTTTAAAGGATGCTAGAATTGTAAAAGAAATTGCCATTAATAGAATAAATAAGAATAATATTATTAATGAAAATAAATTAAATAAAGGACTAGGCATGTAAAAATCTCAATATGTATGAAACCCCCATTCACTGAATTTGAGCCTGTAAAAAGATGCGTCCAACGAGTGGAAATGACGCCAGGTAGCCACTTTCAAGCATGTTGTTTAAAATATAATCACAGTTTACAGTATATTTAAAGATTAGCCAATTTCGCTCAAACATCAGGACACGGCGTCCTAGAGTTTAAACCTCAAAGTTCAAACTTCAGCACATCGTGTGCCAAAATTCAAAAATTGTGTCCAGAAGTTCGAATCTTATGTCCTGAATTTCAAATTAGCAGCTCAAAAATTCAGGAGACTAAGTCATGAATTTCCGAATCCAGGATACTTAATCCTAGTTTGGATGAATTGACTTATCTTTAAATACATTATAAATTATAGATATATTTTAAATAACAAGCTTAAAAGTGGCTAGTGGTGCACTTGGCCCGTCCAACAACAAGAGTGGATATCTGGGGAGAAATTCAAAAATAGTCCGATTTACAAGTGAGCATTCAAAAATCTGAACGAAAACACTACTTAAAATCCAGAAAATACTCCAGTACAATATACTGGAACTCCAGTATATTATACTGGAGTTCTGGTATACTCCAGTATAATATACTGAACTTCCAATATAATATAATGAAGTTCCAGTATAATGTACCGGTCCAGCATAATATGCTGGAATTTCATACACAGGTGTTCCAATCTCCAGTATATTATGCTGGAACTTTTCGCGTGTTGGAGTTCCAGCACAATATGCTGAAAGTTCATACATAGGTGCACCGATCTCCAGTATATTATGCTGGAAATTCCGCGTTACAGCAAAATAGTAGCTATTTTTCATTGACTTTGCAAACGCTGACTATCTTTTAATGACCAGTCCGAAAACTGGCTAGCCCGTACTATTTTTACGGATATATGCAGTTCCTTAGAGTTTCGTTGCTAAAAGCTGAAATTAACACGCAAGCAATTTAAGACATTACTTTTTCATAGACGTACGTAGAAAACTAAGCAATTACTTGTAGATCTCCTCTTTCTACTAATAAAATAAAGATTAGATTATCTTTAGATATACGCTTATGCACGTGCAATAGGTCATTAGTTATCACACATTCACCATCATCCCACATATTAGAGGAACATTACTCACATTATAGAGAGTTAAACTAGAATTACAATCTTAAAAAGAAGGCAGTAGTAACACACAATAGTATACAAAAATATTTACAGTTATCCATAGATATTAGGTAATTAAAATATCTAGGGGAGTTTGTAATTTATCAATCAGAGATATTTGGAACGAACTTATCTTCTAGAGTTTTAAATTAAAACATTGAACATCTCAAAAAGTAATTCTTTTCTCAGTAGCAAAAGTATTAATGTATTAGTATGTGAAAAATAGAAAAGTATTATTATTAATAAAAACTAAATAAAGATTATTATTATTCACCTTCTTGGAACTGAAACTCATGTAAACAGCAAAAAGAGAAAGAAAAAAAAAAGAAGAAAAAAAAAAGAAAAAAAGGGGACGATCAGCCGATCAGGAGAGAAAAATAATAATAGAAGGGCTCAGGATCATATAAAAAGATGAAAAGATCAAAGTAGACTTTTTGATTCCAAAAATTGCTTCTTCCCGTGTAACGGCCAACATTGTTGGAGTAATTCAGTCGGAGCTACCTCAACATCACCATGACCTCCGGCACCGATATCTCGTCTTTAGAAACAAGGTCAAAAATTTTCATTCTGTAATTTTATCTCATCATTCATCACATGCTAAATATTTTTTCCCAGTTTCTCACTAATTGAATTAATTACATATCAGTTACACCAAATGTAAAGTCAGCCGTGTCTGCTTTTATAATCGTGGTATGCTTTACTGGAGACTGAAATTTACTATAACTTATACTATAACTTTATTTGTCGAGTAGCAAGATTTTAAAAATTGAGATTGCAGCGATTTGTATCCATTGTTTCTGCTGCTTGATATTCTCCGTACGTGATTTTCAGATCACTTATTTTTTCTGTTAAATTCCCTAATTTGGAATTATCCGTGCTAGACTAGTATGCTCTCGGAAGTCCAAAATGATTAATTTGGTCATATTAATTATATGAGAGGGTTAAAAATTGATAAGATTAGTGATGTAATTTTGGTTTAGCAGTTAACAGGTTTATAAGTTGGCATATAATCATGCTTGGATACTACTCCTATCATTTTTAGCAAGAGAGCTAGACTGAAGCATCTGGTCCAGTTGTCCAGAAATTAAGATACTAGTTTGTGATTTTGCTCTATGCTGGAATAGAGGCAAGAAGGATCTACATTTGCAATCAACTTTTTTCTCTGAAGACATGATATAAGAATAAATGACAAATTTGATAACCTAAAAACTCCGTAATCAACTTTGATCTCTTAAAGCATGATAAATAAATAAAAAGGGCAAAAGTCTAGATAAAATGGAAAGGCTAATCTTACTGTTCTATAAACTTTTGACATAAAGCATGTTATGCTTCAGGCATGCAGCAAACTACTTATTTCTTAATGCTGACTTCCAATTTATCAACGCTTCGTCTGCTTGGTTTGCTATTCTTTTTTTTTTTTTTGGTTTCTCACCGGTGTCCGCTATTTGCTGTATTTTACGATGCTGATACTATTTTTCTGGTTTCTGTTGTTGTTACGGATCTATTATATTTGAGCCGAGGGTCTCCCGGAAACTGCCTCTCTATCCCTTCGCGATAGGGGTAAGGTTTGCGTACACGCTACTCTCCCCAGACCTCACTAGTAGGATTCTACTGGGTTATTGTTGTTGTTGTCACCGGTATCCGCTACCCATATTGGGCCTGACTAATTCGGATTCGCCACTTAAGATCCATCAAATGGGTGAGGCGCTCCGTAGCAGCATTTTTTTTTCATTCCTAGGGTTCAAACCCGAGACCTTTGGTTAAGGTGGAGGGATCCTATCCATCCCACTGCAACCCTTGGTGATTTTAATTCTCAACAGCTAGGGGTGAAACCAGGCTGAAGAGGGGGGCTGGAAATAGTTCTCAACCAGCTATAGACGCACCTCGGTTAGAATCTCACTAGCTGCGTCATTTCCCCAAGCACAAAGATCAACTTGCTCTGCTATTTCATAAGATGGCTGATGTTTTAGTTTGCTGTATGTTATATTGTTATTGTTTTGTGATGTTCCTGACAAATGGTTTGGAACTTTCTAATTCTCAAATTGGGTCCAGGTACATTTGTTCTTGCCAGGCTAGAGGAATTCCTCCTAATAAACAAGTTCTGTCAGCTCTTTTCAAGGTTTGTGATACTGTAGTTGTCCATTGTTTCCAACCATCAGAAATGCTATCTTTACTGCAAATATAAGCTTATTAATCATTGTTTTCACTTGCTCGCCAATTGAGGTAGACTTCTACTAGCTGAATATATTTGGGAAATGATGATCCTCTTATAGAAAGATTTGGGCTTCATATCAATGAAAATTTATATTGGGCATGTTAACATGATTTGAGATTTGTTTCAAGAAACTTCTTGTTATTCCGCATGCTAAGTGAATGTATTTCCTGGTTGGCATCATAGGTGTGGCTGTTTTATTAAATGGGTTCCTTTATCCTTCTCACCGTTAGCGATATTTGTTTGACTTTTGCTGCAGAATGTGCTGCTTGTTTCTTCTGTGTCATCTGAAATCTTACATTCTTACTCTCATATTACTGCCCAGGCCAGGTTGAAGAAAGCCCGCCATGAGGTGTCTAGCTTAGTGATTTTGCTGGATGACATCCAGGATGCTGATTTCCACCCACTGCTCGATTTGTTGATGGAAGTTGATGTTTCTGAGATTGATGCAGTAGATATTATAAATAGATCTGTATGCACCCTGAGTTGGGAGTATCTTCTTACTTTGCTGCGTGCTAGCAGTAGAAAGCTACGAGTTGTTGATCTCCAGGATATATTGTTTGGCAAGGACTTCTTGCTGTACGTATTGGCACAGTTTTATATTCTATTCCCAACCCTTTGCCACAATTGATAATCTGTTTTGCTTTGCTGCAGATGCAGCCATTTTTTAAGTAGGTATATTTTGGAAAAGTAAATAAAGAAAGAAATGCATCTTCATGGTAGGGAATGAACCCGCTTCAATTATGAACCATGAATTGCATGTGATGTTTTTTGCTAACATATAGACTTTTTCTATCTATTTCCTTCAAAAAAAAAAAAATCCACATAGATTTCTTTAATTACGTATTTCATAAGAGATGTTTTAGTTTTGACTAATATATACAGGAGGAATCAGCACAAAGTCCTTTTCTTTTTTTACCTTTCTGGATCGGTTGCCTGAACTCATAAGAAAAAAGTTAAAGTTTAACTGTTGGCCAGTCCGAATTTACCTTTCTGTAATAATCTCAAAATATTTGGTACACACACAATAGTGGATTCTGGGAATAATTTCCAAGAGATCTTATGAAAAAGAATACTTTTGTAAAGATGTAAAGGAAATGTCCAGCATTTGGAAAAATACTTATCTGACATAGATTGAAAATCTTTAGCAAGTTAATTTGTCATATACTCGAAATATATTCAGAATTAAATTGAACAGAAGCATCAAGGGGAAAGTTGCTTTGAACCAACTATTTTATCCCGAAATCAAACTATTCTAAAATATCCAAAAGAATGAACCCAACAATTGATCGTCTTCTCTGCAGTGAGCATGTGTCTTTTTTCCTGTTTTCCTACTGACACATATATTGCTTTTCCATTTGTTGTGTTTAGACATAATGTGCAATGGATAGGTACACCTTTATGCAGTACTTAGGCTGATGTGCATTCATTACCTTTAGATCTGTTTTTCAGGGATCTTGCTCAACGAGGCTTACCATGCCAAGTGCTAAATCTGAGGTCCTCCCATTTCCGAAAGCTCACCATGGTTGGGAATTTTATGCGGATGCACACCCTTAATTTGGATTCCAGTGCATCACTTACTAACTTCCGTGAGGAGTGTTTTACCTGTATGCCAAATTTGAAGTTCCTCTCATTGTGTGAGACAAGAATCACTAATTTATGGACTACCACTGCTGCACTTGCAAAACTCCCTTCCTTAGTTGAATTGCGCTTTCAGAATTTTTTACAAGATGATGAAGGACACAAACATCCTGCATCAGATAGAAGGGATGACTACTGGGATTCAGATCATACAGAGATTAGTATTCATGATGAAGCGCCATCAGTTAGTGGTGAAAGTATCATGTATAGGCATTTTAATGAAGAACAATATTTGAATAATACTGATATGAATATTGATAGGAGTAGTGAAGATTCATCTGATGACAGTGAAGTGGATTTTTCAAGTCAGGATCGTGAAACGAGTTCCATGGAACTCTTGCCTGATGCACCTCCTGGTTGGGAGGATCTGGTTAATCTGCAAAATGAGGTATACCAACAATTATTTTTTTGTATTATTGTTACATATATCACTTAGCATGAACATTTAACCAGATTCTGCTTCTTATTTTAATAGAACACCAGTGATATAGATAACAGGATAGTAAAGTTACTCTCTCTCGTATAGCACTCTTCTCTATTTTTTCCCTCTGATATTAATATCCAAAAACTAGGGGGTATAAATTAATTTATCTTTTGACGCCATCATCTCTCTGCTTCTACAACCTGCTAAAGCTTTGCATGCTAAAAGTTTGATTACAGTGCAGACACCTCCCTCAATGCCCCTATATTTGAGTGGGAAAAAATGACAATTGTCTTTTTATTGCACCATGACAGGTTTCTTTTGGCACGTTAGATATGCAGGATGACGAAGAACCCTTCTTCCGTTTATCTGACTCACGACTGTCATACATTGCTCCAAAGAAGTGTATATCTCATAATCCTTCACCAATATGCTTTGAAAAATTCTACCGAGAGTACATGATAGTTTCACTGCCAAACCTGAAAATTCTTGATAACTTGCCTATTAGGAAGGTTGACAGAGAAAAGGCCGAAGTGATCTTCTCACAAAATTTTGAGTACCTACCATATAAGAGGAAGAATAAGGAGAGTGTTGTCAGCATTCTGCAAAAGCGTGAGACTAGAGCAAACCATGCTCGCAGGCTCTTTCCTAGGCGAAAGTCGCAATACTTTTATTCTAGGTCATTGTCTGCTGCCAAAGTTGGTTCTGCTGCTTGGCCTGCCCTTTGTCCTCTCTCTATCATTGACACCACAGCAAGAGATGGTAGAAGAAGCTATCGACCACGCCAATTTGAGTATCATCCATCTGATGCAAGCCTTATGGTTTTTGGAACATTGGATGGTGAAGTGATTGTTATAAACCATGAGAGTGGAAAAATTGTCAGTTACATTCCCTCACTTGGAACAATGAACAGTGTTCTGGGTTTATGCTGGCTAAAAAATTATCCCTCCAAGGTATATCATGTAAAAGCTGTAAGTTATGATGTATCTGGTGAAGGAATATTCCTGGAAATTGTGTTCCTTGGAATCCCTCTGTGCATTCTATTGTATTTCAGACTATTTTTTTCTTGCTAAACATGCTCCTTGCTGTTTCTGGTTTACACCTGATATTATTAATAATTTAGATATATGTTGTTGTTCATTTCCTGAATAATGTTGTCCAAAAACTGAATAATAATCCAATCTTTGGGCGCAACTAGAGGTTGTAATTCTCAAGTAATATCAAAGGATTTGCAAGAATTTTGGGAAATGCTTTTCTTTTTTATAATAGCCATGGGTCCTCTATTAGTCTCCATGAACTCTGCTGTGGAAGGGTCATAAGTTTCTCATGAACCAATATTTTGTTATGTTCAAGTAATTTAGCTGGAAAAGTGACAAATGAGCAGAATTATGATGGGACTGCTTTATGACTGATGAATATAATCACTTTTTAGGTCAGATTTTACATGTTTAGAGTCTTCCGTGGAGAAATTGTCAGCTGCAGAGGAAAAAATTTCAGTGGCCATGCATATATATTTTTTTTAGGAGTTGTAAACTCAACCGTGCCAAGTCGTTGAACTTGAGCACCTGCCTATTTTGATAAAACCCTTGTGTTTTTCTCAGGTCATTGCTGGTTCTGATAATGGTTCACTTAGATTGTATGACATCCGGTTGATGCCTCCAACAGCCACAGGCAGCCATCAGAGTGCAGGTTCAATTATGTTTGATGACTTTGACCAGTTAACATCTGTTCATGTCAACTCTACCGATGAGTTATTTCTTGCGAGTGGATACTCAAAACATGTTGCTCTGTACGACATTAGCAGTGGCAGATGCTTGCAGGTGTTTGATGATATGCACCGAGAACATATTAATGTCGTTAAATTTTCACACCACTCTCCATCTATTTTTGCCACTTCATCATTTGATCGGGATGTTAAGATGTGGGATTTAAGACAGAAACCAAACCAGCCTTGCTATACTGCTTTAAGTTCTCGAGGGAATGTGATGGTTTGCTTTTCCCCTGATGACCAATATCTTCTTGTTTCGGCTGTTGACAACGAGGTAATTTATTGAGATAAGTCAGAGGTTTTGTCCCATTTACAATGATTCTCCATGCCGGTCCCTGCTGTTATTGTGATTGTCTGGAGCTTTTTTCGGATCTGTCCCTGTTGCAAATATTTCAGTGTATAGCACAAAGTAATCATGTCATATTACATGTACTTATAAAAATAATCATATTATATTACATATAGATTTTACCAAGAAACCTTTTTATCTTAAATGCTTGACTTCCACTCTCACCCTCGTATTCTTTAATCGAGGTTAGAAGAGAACTGAATGCTATCAGGTAATGTCATCAAATTGTTAGGAAATGATTAACTCATAAAGATGATTAAATATTTGGACAATTATAATCTTGGAAGAGAAACATGGAAAAATTTCGCCTATATGCAGTAGCCACTAAACAAAGAATTGGCCCATGCAACAGGAGAAAAGAGATTTAAGTACTGGCTGAACTCTACAGAATTAGGATTGATGTCGTATACCTGCAGCGAAGCCATTCCGAAGGCTGACAGGAAGAGGACAATTGTTTAGGACCAACTTCCTTGGATATCCCAGGCCAGGAGACATATTCCTATGAAACAAAAGTTTGTTACGCAAAAAGAGAGCAAGAACTTCTAAAAGCATATAAAGTGCTCATTATTTACTGAGGAATAACTTCCTTTTCCCCCTCATTTTCTTTGAGAAGGTGGATGAACTTATAAATTTGATAACAAGGGGAAAAAAAAGTGTTCCATAAAAATAATGGCCCACCATTCACGTGGATAGGATAGTTTTAAGAGGGATATGTGCCAAACTGGCATAATACAGCAGTAAAATGAAAAGATTTATGAAAGTGGTTTTTAATGGATTTGTATTATATGCAGTTCCGCAAAACGTCATCCTTTTCCAGGTTATATTGAGAACATGGAAAAATTATTGGCAGGTGAAACAATTGTTAGCTGTTGATGGGAGGCTCCATCTAGATTTTAGTATAACTTCAACAGGGAGCTCTCAGAATTACACTCGCTCTTATTACATGAATGGAAGGGATTATGTCATCAGCGGAAGCTGTGATGAACATGTAGTCCGCATCTGCTGTGCTCAAACGGGTAGGCGGCTTAGAGATGTATCATTGGAGGTAATTTGGTTTAACTTAGCTTGCTTTTCCACTGTTTTTGATTTAACTGATTCGAAAACATGATGATTATCTTTAACATCATAATGCACTGCTTGCTGTTTGACTGAGATTGTATCTTCATGTTGTTCAGGGAAAAGGTTCAGGAGCTTCAATGTTTGTCCAATCATTAAGAGGGGATCCTTTCAGAGTGAGTCCTCTTTTCATGTCACGAGTTTTTTTTTCCCTTTTCCTTTTAGCACAAAAATGCTTCTACGAGGTTTTAAGCTGATTAAAATCCTCTTTCCATGTGTCACTTAACTATTGGAAATTAGATATCACTTTATATTAACATTTGGAATTGTAATTATGGAACTAATAAATACTGAATACTGACCTAGCTGCATCACTGATAGTCTATGACTATGAGTGTTTAAACAGACTTGTCAGAAGGGAAATGATGCTACTCTTGCAGTTAATAGTTAATGTATGTAATTATCTGTGGACTGTACCAAACAAATTCACTCAACCTTGAGACAGAGTTTAGAAATTGCAGGTTAAAGAATTGAGCTGATCTTTCTGCTGGTCTTCTAGTGAGCATGGCTAACAGATCTTATATCATTAGTGAAAGAGGGGTTTGACTAGATTCTTTCACTCTGTGCCAGAAACAGTTCTTGCATATTCTTGCATAGGAGAGAGATTTATATGTTAAAAACATATTTTCCGAATCTGGAGGCTTTGGCTTTCGACCTTTAAAGGGTGTATGTGTGTGTGTGTGGTGGTGGTGGTGGTGGTGGGGGGTGTTGTTAGAAGGGAATAGCTCCACCCTAANGGGGAAGCAGTTAAACCAGTATACAGCTGTAAAGTTTTCCAACTTATATATCCCCATGAAACTGTCAAAAGGCTTAGTTTCTTAAAAGCATCTATTTGGAAGGAGACATTTGGATTAAAGAGGAAATTTCAAATTTTAAAGATTTCTTATGAAATGATTCAAGTGTCATTTGAAATGAACCTCATATTGAAATGACCTGCAATTTAAGTTTTTTTTTAATCTCAAATTTGATGATCTAAGCCTATTAACTTGAGATCGATAGTATCAAATCCTCCATCACCTAGTGTGACAAATTATTTAGCTGGAGTGCTGGACCAAGCTAGAAGTTGAAATATCTATCATGAAGCGATTCATGCAACCTTAACTTGCCACTTGTATTAACCCTCAGGGGTTGGCCTGGTGGCAATTGACTTGAGCCTTGGGGTTTGCTCCCTTTCAAGGTCTCAAGTTCGAAACCCACTGGGTGCAAACAATTTCTGAGGGCCATCGGACTGGGTAAAACCTGAATTAACCGTGGTGCACTTGCGGGAAACTCCTTGCCGAGGGCCTGTGCACCCCCGGGATTAGTCGGGGCTCTTAGAGACTCGGACACCCGGTGCAAATCAAAAAAAAAAAAAACTTGCCACTTGTATTGCTTGAGATCGGTGCAGTCAAGTGTCAAAGGCTGGTACAGGAACAAGTCAATCCCTCAAACTGGGAAAGTTTATGTATCTCTTTTTCAATATTATGGTGTTTTCAGGATTTTAGCATGAGCGTCTTGGCAGCCTATATACGTCCGAGTTCAAACTCAGAAATTGTTAAGGTAAATTCAATGCCTTGACATGACGATTTTGACATTGAGCAACCAGATGCCTAATATTCTTTCATGAATATGATGCAGGTAAATCTGCTGGTATCAAGTGACCAAGACAAAGGATACTCGTACACTCGGCATCATCCATTATTTAGCAGCGGAGGCTGATCTTTCCACAGTCACATTACATGCTACATATAGTTCTTATGGACTCGTTGAGAATGATTCTGATCTACTTCATGGCCTATTAGAAGTAGAAGGCGCTTTGGTCTGGGCTTCGGTCACCGGCTCCCCTATCATCATGTCACCAACTTCCTTGACCTTCCATCACTGGGCAGGCATCAGCCCCTGGTCCTGGTGAAGTCAATACCAGAGACAAGCTGTTTGGCAGGCAACCAACTGAAGAAGGTACTTAATGATTTCTGCATGTTCAGTATGTACCTGTAGTCTTTGTAGATGCACTGTAGACTAGATAGGTATTAACTAAATGAAATGGAAGTAGGAGTGCAACAGAATTAGAATGTAGGTTGCTTCATCTTATCTGTAATTCTATTTGAGCAACCTCGTGTATGATGTAACATTTGTATGAAGTATAGTGCCTGATTAGATACATTACTGAAGTGTCTGCTTCTCTGATGTTCTCTCATCTTGTACATACACCAAATATTGTATAGACTAGCATTTTGAGCTGTTGATGATGGTTTCAGTTCTGTACCCACGACGCATTTTGGATCTCATATATTTTGGTGAACTTCGTTTATTAGTTAGAGCTAGGATTTCATGGGAACTTCCAGAAGACATCTAAGGTTAGAGCATTTTAGTTATGTATGCGTTGAATCTATATATCTATATATCTATATAAAACAGGGCCTAAGACAGGTTACGTGGCACTATATATGATGAGAAAAGCCATTATCTTTTTCCATATTTTTTGCTATTTATTCTAATTTTTCTGTTTATCTTTTTTTCGGATGAAAAATTAAAAGCGACTGTTCATTCTCTTTAAACTCTTTAGCCACCTTTTTATTTGTTTTCCACCGTTTCATTTTCATTTTCTCCTACTAAACCGAAAACTCTCCGGTGTCCACATACTTTCTCTTGGAACTTAGAGGGTGTTTGGCTAAGCTTATAAGCTGGTCAAACTGGCTTATAAGCACCTTTTGGCTTATCTACGCGTTTGGTAAACATTCAAAGTGCTTATAAGCCAAGTGCTTATAAGCTAAAATCAGCCATAAGTCATAAGCTAGTCACCCCCAACTTATGGCTTTTCAGCTTATAAGCACTTTTAGTTTGACCAACACTTTTACTAGTTTATCCTTAATAATATTTTCTAATTTACAAAATACTTTTCCCAAAATAAATTTCTTGACTTTCTATTCATTCCATATTCGTTATTAATTCTTTTCTTTACAATTTTTTTTTAATTTATAATCTTTTAAAAAAAAAATCAAGGGTATTTTAGTCATTCTAACAAAAGAATAGCTTATCAGCACTTTTTAATCAAACACATCAACTGCTTATTATCAGTTTCAGCACTTCTATCCAAACACGTAAATGCTTATTTTAAAAATCAGTTTCAGCACTTAAAAAAACTTTTCAGCACTACAAGCTTATCAGCTATTTATAATCAGCTAGTCCAAACGGGCTCTTACCCATTCTTCATCCCCTTTTTTGCATTTGATTTTTCCTCTTTTTTCATCAATATAAATTGTGCCTTGTGCGTTTGGTGCGACCAAAATGTTATTTCATTTAAAATATTCATTGTGATAAAAAAATTAACATTGTCCAAATATGCTGATGTTTTCATTGCGGAGAGGGGAATTCAACATATGTTGGCCGAACTCTGACATGGAGGCATAATTGTGTTTGGTGGCTAGAGAATCCATAGAAAGGGACAACATGTGATGCTTTTTCTCTTACTGAGCGCATCATATTGTATGTTTACAATCTTGTATTCCTGAGTGTTCAGCGAAGACGTCAACCTAAGCAATATAATTTCCTGATTTAAATACTTATAGTATCATGGAATATGTGGTGTTTTTCATCTTTGTTGTCGTTGATTTAAATACTTATAGTATCATGTCAAAGATGATACTATAATTTCCTAAATGAAGAATTGGTATCAACATCTTTAATTTCCTAAACGTTTTTCATCTTTGATCGTGAGGACAAAATTTAGGAATTTAGGGTTGCATATTCGAGGGGAGAGGATAAAGTACCAAAGATGGTAAATTCTCTGAGAAAAAGAAAGAAAATAAGACGGGAAGTGTAGAAAAAGAGTTGGGATATTTCTTTTCCCCCTTCATGCGTGATATGGTTTCATTTTTTCCCTTTTTATTTCTTTTCCTTTTTTATTTCATTCTTATTTTTTTTCTATTTATTTAAGATTGAATATGAGAAAACTGAAAGGTATATAAGAATAGTTCATTATCCATGTAAGTGGTGGGGAAAAAAATTAGTAAAAATAGCACGGTATAGCCAGTTTTCGGACCGGTCAATTAAAAATAGCCAGCGTTTACCAAGTCAATAAAAAATAGCCACTATTTTGCTGCAATAGAGACCGGTCCAGCATAATATACTGGAGTTCGGTGCACTTGTGTATGAACTCCAGCATATTATGCTGGACCGGTATACTTTGCTGGCTCCAGTATAATATACTGGAGACTGGAGCACCGGTGCTCCAAACTCCAGTATGTTATACTGGACCAATATACTTGCTGGAACTCCAGTATATTATGCTGGAGTTCTAGTGTACTTATGCTGGAACTCCATCATATTATGCTGGAGTTCCAGCATACTTATTCTGGAACTCCAGTATAATATGTTGGAGTTCAAGTATACTTATGCTGGAACTCCAGCATAATATACTGGAGTATTTTCCGGGTTTTGAACAGTGTTTTCGCTCAGATTTATCGTTATATAAAAAGTGGCTAAATTTGGATTACTTTTGAAATTGGGCTATTTTTGAACGATCAGTTGTAAATCTAGCTATTTTTAAAATTTATCCAAAGAATTATCCATGTAAGTGAGATCTATGATTTAGGTTTCGTAAATCTGGAACGAATCAACTGCAGTCATATATCCCCCTAACAAATTAGTAATATAATGTGACGTCCTTTTTCTATGAACTCTAATGTAATGTTTAGTTTCGAATTATCTATTTGATGCCCTTTCTTTTTACTCTTTTAAAATTTAAGCTACATAAATTTAAAATGCTAGGGAGTCATGATGAAGGTGAAGGTATAACGACTGGAAAGTTAATTCTGTACTAAGCTAAGGGATTAACGCGATTCTTTTTATATTTACAAGTAATTATTACGCACCATGATATCAAGTAATTTTACATTATTATCGTTTATCAGTTATTTATCTTTTGTTTTTCAAATTCAGATATACTAAAATGGGTTATTCCATTTAAAACTAAATGTTTTGCACTATCCTCCCTAGACCTCACTTGTAAGATTTTACTGGGTGGTTGTTGTTGTTTCGCATATCATTTCAGCCAAAGAACTTGATATAAGATGTCTGATTAGTGTTTTCTTTTGTTGAAAATATGATACTTAGTTAGCTATATTTTATTGTATAAACAATGTATTTCTATGTATATATTTATATAAGTCTTGGTCTCAAGAGAGGTGATATTTTCCGATATATATATATCGAAAAATATCCAAATATGCCCTTGTACTATACGAAATTGAGCACATGTGCCCTTCGTTAATACTTTAGCACATATATATGCCCTTACCGTCACATAGTTGGTCCATATATGCCCTTACCGTCACGGAATCTACCCAACTAATTAGCTCTTTCGTAATTGTACTAAAGTGTATTACAAACACAATTTTCTTTTTATTAGTACTTTTTTTTCTTTACCTTTCTCTTTTCCTTCTTCTTTTTTCTTTTCTTCTCTTTTTTTTCCCTTTTTCTTTCTCCCATATCCAATTTCCTCCATTGTTGATGCCTTCTCCATTTCGTCACCAATTTCACTTGACAAAACTCATGAATTCCTGCTAATTTTACTATCACAAACCCCACTGGTTCTTCTGACCTGAAGGAGATGAAAATTATCGGAGAAATTTTTCCGGCGGTGTTAATTGGATGAAGGTAGGATATGGTTATTCAGATTTTGAAGGCTTTGTTCCCTTCAGATATGAAGCTCCATAGTAAACAACACCTTCAAAATCTGAATAATCATATCCTACCTTCACCAAATTAAAACCATCGAAAAAGTTTCTCCAACAATTTTCATCTCCTTCTTTTCCGAAGAACTAGAGCCTTCTCGTTGGGAAGCTTTTGGTGCTGTAGGTTTGATTTTTAGGAATAAAATGTAGGTTTGAAATTGGTGACGGAAATGGAGAAGACATCAGCAATGGAGGAAATCGAATATGGGAGAAAGAAAAAGGGAAAAGAAAAAGAAGAAGAAAAGAGAAATGTAAAGAAAAAAAAGTACTGATAAAAAGAAAATAATGTTTGTAATACGCTTTAATACAATTAATACCAAATACATATACAACCCATCCAACTTGGCACCATTTTTTATTTTGGCACTCTATCTCTATCTTGTTTCATTTTGGCCCTCCAACTCTATTTTATAGGTTCCACCTTGACCCTCCAACTCTTTTTCTTATGTTCCACTTTAACACAAAAGCTGAAACCAGTACAAAAAATATAGCCCGTTAATCTAAGGTGTAATAAATATTCAAATATTACCACTTGGTTTTTTATTATGTCAAACGGGTCAATACTAAAATACCTGAACCCGCTCATATTTTTCCATCCACTGCTGCCCCATCTTCATTCTGTAAGTTCCAAAGCTTTCATCTGCCGATTTCATACCTGACCCGTTTAGATGAAATAAACCCACAGAAAATATGATCGGGTTCAAGTATTTTAGTATTGACCCATTTGACATGGATGAAAAAATAGGTGTCAACATTTAATTAGATATTTATTACACCTCAGATTTAACGAGCTATATTTTTTGCACTGGTTTTAACTTTTTGTGTTAAAGTGGAACAAAAGAACTAGAGTTGGAGGGCCAAAATGGAACAAAGTAGAGGTAGAGTGCCAAAATGAAAAATGGTTCCAAGTTGGATGGGTTGTATATGGATTTGGCGTACAATTAAAGAAAGAGCTAATTAGTTTGGGTGGATTCCGTTTTGAAAAGGGCATATATGGACCAACTATGTGACGGTAAGGGCATATATGGACTCAACTATGTGACGGTAAAGGCATATATGGGCTAAAGTATTAACGAAGGGCAATGTGCTCAATTCCGTATAGTACAAGGGCATATTTGGACCTTTTCCGTATATATATTAAAGGAATAAAGTTTCCACATATAATTGGCATTGTGATTAAGCCAAGTGGCAAGCATTAACAAGCCATTTGACAATTTTAGAACAAGATAATAAAATAATGTAATTAATTGTAAGTTTATAATTAGAGTGTGGTTAATTTTGTTAAGAAATCTTTGTTCATCAAAATCTGAATTAAAAGAAATCAGCCACGCCACAAAGGCTACTAATTATTAAACGTAGTTTTGTTAAGGAATCATTAAATCGTCTTCCTTAATTAGTGGGACATTCAAATAGATAATCATGAGCTTTTATTTTAGGCAAAATTGTCTCCTGGCCACTTAAACTTGTAGCCGTTTGTTATTCCGGTATATAAACTTACACATTTCCCATTTGAACACCTTTACTTGATGAACCG